GCTGCCAGCGTGCAGGGACCTGAGCTCGTCATGAGAAGATGGAGGGTTGACGTAAAATATGGGGGACGGGATAGTTATTCATAGTCAAAAAATGGGGTCGGAACAATTAAGAATAGTATTCCCGTATGACCCTATATTGTCTAATTGTTATACTAGAATGACACCTAAAAACTCTGTTTCAACTCTTAAGGACCCCATAGAAAATCATTCGAGTTTTGTGGGCTCTTGTTGCATCTATTGCTTGTTTGCTTCGCACCAGGCAACAGTCATAATATGAGGTCCAAGATACCGGGGCTGGAAACTCGCATGGTCGACGGGTGTTTGGGGCTTTCTAGCCAGCTGCTGACACGCAGCTGGCAGTCGCCACGGCGCTTTATCAGCACACGAGTATCTCAGGTAGCAGTCTTTAGGATCTCCCGGCAGCCACAAAGCAGTGCGTAGACCCCACTCCTCTTCCCTGGTTTCACGTTGCCGGAGGTCCAACGTCTGCCCTTGTGCAGTTGGATCCTAGACATCCACATAGCGCTAAAGAGGGACCAGAATGGAACTCAATGCACGGCGCTGAACGTCGCTAAGCCCAAGTCATGTGTTGCATCCGCAAGAGCCCACAAGCCTGTCAGGCCCCAGCCCCAAAACTTGCCCTTCAAATCCTGCCAAGACGTGGCGAAGGTGATCAGCCACGGTGCCGCTAGCAGCGCCTGCGAGAAATGCCGCCGCGGCCGCGTGGTCCCTGCCCTTGTCGGATGACATGCTTACGGGACAAAAATGTGGTTCAGGGCGTTGCTGAAGAGGCTTAGTCACCTTAGTCATAGCGCCTGGAAAGATCTGTCTGAGAATGAAGCTTACGAGGATGGTCATTGATTGTACTTGACTAACTATGCTTCATGGAGGTCTGCTGCGCGGCGGAAGCGGTTTCCATGCAGAGTTTTGGGTTTGCCCCAGAACGTCTCGGTTCGCTCGTTTTGAAATCCACACTCCTCCGTGGCATGCGCGCACTGAACCAATGCAAGTCTACAGCGCGCAAGATTCCTAACCTGTTTGATGATTGGCGCAGCGTCTCTGCGTGCTTCTGGGCCCTAGAAGCCTTACAAACACCAAAGCGCATGGCTGCACTTGCGCGTCGAGCCTGACAGCTGCGCCTACGCATCTTAAGGTTTAAGTCAGATTCACTATTATTCGCTGCTCTTGCGCATTGGCCGAGCCTTCAGCTTGCAGCGGACCTGCTCCTGCCCGGAGCTCTCTTGTCACCAATATCGCTCCTTTGGCTCCCAGTGAGAGGAGAGGCTTCATGGGATCTGGCTTAGGGTGAAGTGGTCTGCACGATTTCGACACTGCTTACTGCTTATCGCGATTCCTATCTGTCCATGGTATAAGAATCCCTAAACCCTAAGCCCTAAGCCCTAAGCCCTAAACCCTAAACCCTAAACCCTAAACCCTAAACCCTATACCCTAAACCCTAAACCCTAAACCCTAAACCCTAAACCCTAAACCCTAAACCCTAAGCTAGCGAAGTCTTGAGCTTAAGAATGTCCACCACGCATGCCTTATCGCAGCACGTGCTTGTCACAGCCTTGTAATCTCGAGATTTCGGCACGGCCGAACATGGGCAAGCGTGCGCTCTGCATCGGCATCAATTATGCCGGCCAGGCTGCTTGATTTCAATCCAATCATGCTTCGACGTCTAGAAATCCCAAGTTTCATTCATGGACGCTAGGCCTGCTGTAGGGTACAGTGAAAGACTGGCAGTGCATGCCGAGGGTAGTACCAATAGCACGTAGAGTCACGAATCGGCACTGCTAGTGTGATTTCGGCTGTGCAGTAGTCAGTTTGCAGAGCATGCTGGTACGGCACGCAGGAGAGCCAACAGTGCCTATGGAGCAAACGCGTGAGTCAGTGCAACAGAACGAGACAGAGGAACTAGACTTGGCACAACACCTCAGCGCCATTCTGTGCCACTGTTTCAGGCATACCAGCTGTACGGCTGTGCCGTCCGGCAGCAATTGCAGCTGTTGCTCAAGAACTTTAAGGGTTTTGGCGGTAGGCATTCTGGCAACGAAGAGGATCCACAAGTTGATCTTTTTATGTTGGACACGCCTGCCTGAGTTGAGAAGGTTCACAGTTGTTTGTTGGCTCCTAGGCCTACTAGCCGCATATGATGCCACGTATGCCTTTACTCGCCGAAGCCCTCGGCTCCCGAGACCCTGAGCTCTAAACCCCTTATGACTAAGTATGGCTTAAGATGGCCTAAGCCTGTAGACCCGAAGCCCTAAGGCTCTAAGGCAGTGGTACACTCTATGTCCAGTGGCTCAGGTCAACGACTGCCTGAACTGGGAGACAACCCTCCGGCATAGATATGCTTTTGAGGAGATAAGAGTGCTGATGGACCAGCTTCCGGCAACTTGGCGGTCTCATGTTGAGGGTTAAGGGTTTACAGGGGAGGCCACTCTGCAGATTTGATTCCAATACGTAGCCGATAGATACATCACACGTGGAGCTGGTAGCCATTCTGGAGAGCCGGGCTGATGCGTCGTGCACATGGGTACCGGGTTTCACATTCGGCAAGCACGTGTCGCAGAAGTGCGTTCTGCAAGGATGGCAGCCCGGTGCAGTCTGGGACGCGAGTGCCCACCCGGGAGAACATCCTGGGGCAGCTCGAGCGCTGGCTCGTGGCTGGAGCAGCTCGCCTACAAAGCCCGCACCACATCATGCGTGACATAAACCGGCTACACCTAACCTTGGGTTTCCTTCTTTGTTGCCACGCCTCCCTTGTCATGCATCCCGGGTCCGAACACAAGCCTGGGCCCTCTAACCCTGATATTCTTCAGTGCTGACATGGGCCCAAAATAAAGAAAGGGTCGGGATTTTCCTCCTCTTCAAGGCACCACAAAGCAATGGCTCTTGTTTTCAAGACCTTAAAGCCCTTCAGCCCCAAACCAGAGCCCTAAACCCTAAACCCTATAGGCCCTAAACCCTCCTAACTACTAAACCCCCCAGCCAGTTCTTTCCAATGCCCGCAGAGTGCCTGGCACAAGAATGGCCCCAACCTCACCAGAAGCATGAGCCTGAATTTGAGCATGCGCACATTTCAAAGATGCAAGGGCTGGCTGAGAACTCAGAATGCCGCCAAGGGCCTTTACACCCTACAGCCTAAATCTGCATTCGAATGTACTTGGGGTGGTTTGGGGGCGGGGGGCAACGAGCCCTAAACCCTAAGCCCTAAACCCCTCATAACCCTAAGCCCTTTCCTAAACCCTAAACCCTGAACCGCATTTCGGTCGGCGAGGGGCGCTTTTGGTGCCAGGTGCGGCTCCATCAGGAGGTCGAGGCCAAGCCGGGGAGCTCGCAGCATGAGTATATTTTTCCCAACATAGGGGAGGGTTTAGGGTTTAGGGTTTACGGTTTAGGGTTTAGGGTCTAGGGTTTTACCTAGACCTTCTTTTGGTACGGAAAATTGTGTATCAAAAAAATAGTGTTACACTTAACCAGGTTTCTGGACGATGTTGAGAATGTGTACGGATTCCCGGAAATGTAGCCGAAGCCCTCAACTAAACCCTAAATCCTATGCCTTGAACCCTATAAACCCTAACTCTGGGTCGGTGCTTAGGGTTTAGGGTTCATATAGGGTTCATAGAGGGTTCATATAGGGTTCATAAGGCCTAGGGTTCCTATGGGGTTCATAGGGTTCATATAGGTTCATAGGGTTCATAGGGTTCATAGGTGTTAGGGTTTAGGGCCTAGGGTTTAGGGTGGGGTTGTTCGATCACAGCCCGGGAGCCTGGCAGTGCTGGCTGGCATGGGAAGGTTTAGGGGGATTCGATCAGTATCCTGCGAGGACTTGGCAATAAGTTTACAAGGCTTGGGGCGGTTGAAACATCCTGTCCTTTCGCCAGGTAGGGCGATGTTTAGAAGGCTTGGTGCCTTATATGTCTTTGCAACCTTGCAGGGCTTGTTATTGGTGTTTGGGGTTTCGACACCCGGGGCCGATAACTTAATGGGGTCGAGCCTGCGGACCTATAAGGTTGTTGGGGTTGCTCGGGGCTTTGGGATCATTACTCTATTGGTGCGGGACGAGGATGTCGTGGTGGAAAAGCGCGCGCACACACACACACACAGACACACATTTCCTGGACGGCAGCTTCGTCTCCGCTTCGTTGGCACATCGGGCATGCCAGGCACTCAGTGCAAGTCGAATTGCTGGCCCCATTCTGCCTTGTAGTACATGAGGCTCTTCTGAATTGTTCGGATGACTGTCGTCATAGCATGACACCTCCTACTCACCCGTGCGATGCGGCCAACAAAATCTTCGTCGGCCCATGTGCACCAGCCTTATTTATTGATCTCTGAGGATGGTACTAGTGCTAAGTACAGGCAAAGACAAGGAAAGGGCCAAGTAGCAAAGAGGGTTTAGAACTTCAGTGGCACCGCACCGCAGCTCACGCTGCACGTCCCATCTTAGTTGACATTCGAATTTGTAGCAAGCCATCTTAGTTGACATTCGAATTTGTAGCAAGGGGGCACTTGGGTTTCGGATTGCAATACAAAACTGATTAGGCTGCATGGAGGTTACATGATCTCGGCCTGCATGTGAACTTTAGGACGTATTCGATAAAGTGGCCACCGGCGTTCAGCGCATAGTCGTGCCAATGTACTGTACCCAGCCTTAGACCCCCCCCAACTGCAATATAGATACCCTAAATATATAACTAAACCCTGAACCCTAAACCCTATAAACCTCTAAACTTTAAACCTTCAAAACTTATAAACCCTAAACACCATAATGAATAAACCCTAAGCCCAGGCCGGAGAGCGAGCATCTGCCACCCGCTCTGCACTGCAAGCCAGGCGGGCTCTGCGGGCAGGAAGACCCCATTCGAATAGAGGGTGCGGAAATGCTGACCAGTGCACTGTAGTGTCCACCGAAGTACTTTGAAAATGTCCAGATGCTCTGGGGCCTAATACGGGATCTAGGTTGGGCTAGGTTGGGCTTGGGTAGGCTCAGGTCAGGCAGCTTTAAAAACTAAAATGCTGCAAGTTACAATGGTGTCTTCCACGACACGGGACACAACCTCTTCCAGCCAAGCGTTCATCAGACCACAATCATGTCCTTTCCCACATCCTGTAGGGTATTCCTGGAGCCTTAGGTTCCACCGCCCTACCCTGTCTACCGAGTAATTTCAATGCCCTATTAAGGTTTTGGAGGTTGGCGGCAGAAGCCAAGGCGCGTAATCACCTTGAGTGTCTTGAGGGTGAACTCTGTGATGCTTGTCGTCTTGCCAACACGATTGCAGTACTCACGAAAATCAGCAAATGCTTCGTCGAAGGAGACTTGGAGTGAGCGAGATTTAAAGATGTGAAGGCGCCACAACAGAACCAGGCTGCTACCACAGAGGTCTTTACCCCATCCATTGATAGAATACGTATGTGCAATGTCTGGTCGAATGTGTTCTGGCTCGTCTGCGATGGTCGTAAGTCTCCTAAAAGCCGATGATGGCTCGTTCGCTTTGAACGGGCTGGGGAGAACTTTGGCATGGCTGCGATCTAAGGCATCCTTGCTGAAATCGAACCATTCCTTAAAGACCATCTGGGGTAAGATAGCTATAGCTAGTTGAAACCCGGCCACACATTAGCAAAAAAAACATCTGCATGAAACAGCTAGGCACTTTCGCCATGCAGAGGTGGCAAACATACTTTGATGTGAATCCTGTGTTCAATTTCATCGCCTTTCGTAGGAAAGGCCAGTCCCCCTTGATGGACAACGTAACGAGTCGGAATCGAATCGGCGTGTTCTTGAACACAACCTGGCTGGATACCCACCCACCCCCCTACCTATAACTATACCCCCGTACCTACCTACCCCCCCTACCTACCGACCCCCCTACCTACCTACCCCCCTACCTTCCTGAAGACCCTAAACCCTAAACCCTAAACCCTAAACCCTTAACCCTTAACCCTTAACCCTTAAACCCTAAACCATCATCTAGACCAGAATTGCAATATGAGTAGCTTCCAACCCATCCTGATACAACCTCTCCAGGTCGGTCACCATCGCATCCAGCAATGTGTCCAAGGTGAGATCGCCACAGTAACTCTGGGCTGGGATCACTGAGTACAGCATTCGAGTGGTCAGAGAGTGCCTTATAAGATTGAGGGTTTATAAACCCTCATAGGGTGTAGGGTTTAGGGCTCCAGGGTTTCTATGCTATAGGCGGCGTTCGGGTTTGTGAGTGTGCGGTGAAAAGGGGCTCAGATATAGCCTAGCTTCCCACTGGTGTTGATGTACTGGATGCCCTTGGGTCCAATGACCGGCTGCAGCGATAGGATCATAATCGCCCGTTTGGCCTTAGCCCTACCTTCATCTCCATGCACTGATACGGGGATACACGTGCTGGCAAACTCATCGCTGTACTCTGGCCTTTGATACAAGTCGAACGTGGGGTGGGTGGTCCTGTACTTTGTCCAGAAGTCGAGAAACATAGACCTGTAGGACTGCTCTGCGTCGAGACACTGGCCCCCTAGGAAGGCCTCCCCACCCACACTCAGGGAATACTCCAGCCACGCAGAAGGCATAATGACAGGATAGCAACAATCGACCCTGCGCAGTCTGCCCTTTGCAACGACTCGAATAGGTGTGCTGACCGACTCAATTTGCACAGGCAGAGTACGCCCTTGCTTCTGAATGAGCCGATGTAAGTTACGAGAAGCATTGGTCCCAACAGTCTTGCCGGCACCACACGCTGCCAGAGCTTTCAGAATCGGATCCACGACACCTATACTTAAATTGTGTGTGCAGGGTTTCCATAGAAAGGATAATCCCAAGGCCAGCAAAACTAACTAAGACCAGCTTAGGATCCATGCTTCTTCATCTTGCGTGCTGCCACTTGAGCAAGCCGAACAACACGCTCTGCGCTCTCTGCCTTTGCATATCCACTAGCATTACTGGGGTGTCTTCTGCTCAATGGCAAATCAACTTTCAATTTAATCAATAGTGCGTAGAAGCCACACCTGTTTGAAACCCTACAAAGAGCTCGTTGGCCAGATCATCATCAGCGTCGTCATCTTCGCTGGAAGTGTGCCCTGCGCAGTTTGGCAGAGGGATTCAGATTTGGGATTTAGGCAATTGAGATGAAACAGCAGGGTTTGATTTATCGGGTTTATAGGGGGAATAAGGGTGAGGCAGGCAGTGGTGAGGAGTCCTGCTGCAAAAATAGGGTTTATAGGGTTTAGGCTGTGGGGTAGAGCTTTATAGGGTCGGTTTAGGGCTTAGGTTTAGGGTTTAAGAAATTGACGGACGTGGCCTTCTCTTCCACCAGCTCCCCTTGGATCCCCTGCTTGTTCAAGTAGACCTGTCCGGGGTTGCGCGAGGAGATAAGAAAGGGCCCAAGATATATTGCGTGCATTTCACGGGCATGGCAAAGGCCAGTACGATTTCTCCCAGAATTCGATCGGATTCGCATGTTAAGAGCTGTCTGCACTTTGCAGTGTAAGCGCAGCAACACGCACAGCACGTGCAAACCCTTAAGCCTGGTGTTCGTCACATCCGAGCTAGGCACTGCGTCGTGTTGCAAGGCTTCGCAGCCAGAGAGGGCTTCTAAGTCAATTAAATTAGCGCTATGCTTTAGGATGCCTCCTTCTTGCATAGAATCATTTAGTGAGGCTCAAGAGCAAAAACCCTTAACCCCTAAGCAAAAGCCTCAAACCCTCTCAACCCTATAGGCATATTGACGTTATGCAAACCTATATACTCATATTGTAACCCTACATATAATAAACCGTATACAAACCCTCTAAACCCTGTTAACCCTACAACCCTGTAGCCCTGCACTTGGAGGTTCATGGGTACTTATAAACTTCTTAGAGGACTTAGGGGACTTAGGGCTTTATAGTACAGTTCCAATTGGGGTTAGAAGTACCCTGAACCTGCAAGTAACCCTATAAAAAACACTTCCCTGTACGAGCCAATTAATGTATGAGGGTCTCTAGGGTTTCGCCGGGGAATTGTCCTATACTTTAAAGTTGAGGCATCCCCGCCAGTCGCTTCGATGTCGATCGGGTCTGCCATTGCAGATCACGACAGCACAGCAACACAGCTAGATATGCCAGCCAGCTTTAACCCAGCATGATCTATACTTCCTACCTGCGCATCAATCTTGACACACTGGTAGCTGTGTTGCAAGGCTCTGAAACTTGCCCCAGCACCTACGCACCACCTTTGGCAGCCTTTCCCTTGCTGGGCTTGCCTGGGGTCTTAGGATCCTTCTTAACCTTTGCCGGCTTCTTGGCAGGCTTCGGCGGCTTGGCTGCCGTCTTCACAGCAGGCTTGGTCGGCTTGTTGGACTGGGCGGGCTTCATTGTCCTTAACTGCACCCTATAAGACTAAACCCTCAACCCTACTGTGGCTAGTCTGCTTGGCGGGTCACGGTTTAGGGTTTAGGGTTCAGGGTTTAGGGTTTATTAGGGTATTAGGGGTATTAGGGGTATTAGGGGTTTTAGGGGTTTTAGGGGTTTAGGGGTTGAGGGGTTTAGGGGTTTAGGGGTTTAGGGGTTTAGGGGTTTAGGGGTTTAGGGTTTAGGGTTTAGGGTTCTATAATTACGTTGAAGCACATGTCTACTAGGAACTTCCAAGTGGAGGGACTTCGCTTGGGATTGGGACAAGAGTCTTCGCTCGGACGACGAAGTTGTTCATGATCAAGTCCTGCTTCGTGACTTCGGCGAAGATTTTGAGGAGGCTGTTCTGGAAGGTCCTCGAGTTTCAACTGTTTGTATATTGGTTTGGGGCACGTGTGTTAAGGCGAGTTGCTCGTCGGGCTTTCTGGTGATGGCGTCGGACTGCTTCTTCGTCAAATCAGAGAAGAGGATGTTGAGCCCATCGAGGACCTTCTGGATCTCCACCCGAAGCCTAGCGGGCACAGCACTCACGTACATATTGCATAAGGCTCGATCCCATAAGTGTAAGTTGAGTCACGTTGTGGCGCGAGTGCCTCCAATGCTCTTCAGGCGGTCCTGCTATATATCTACGAAACCCAGCATGCTACAATGACAGCCCAAGACCCTCACCCCCTAAACACAGTCCAAGACATCTTCGCAGTTGTCGATCTTGCGCCCAAGCACTTCGAGATACTGCGGCAGGATCGAAACCGGAGAGCTCGTCTGTGACAAGCTCGGAAAAACAAGCCTGAAGGGATCTAGCTATGCATATATGTATTCAAGAGGGCCTTCTTGCACACACAGATGCTAACCGGAAGCTTGAAGGAAGCATTTGCCGAGAATGATTCGATCTGGGCGTGCGCCACCCCCCCAGTGGTAGAAGATGTTGCGGTACCGCTCATCAATGCAGCATCCTCGGCATCGATGTTGGGAACGTCGCCCTCCAGCAAGAAGCCGGTGTCGTCCTGTCATCCCACACCCAGTTAAAACCCAAGCCCTAAACATGGGACGTTCCCCCTTAGTCGTCCTTATAGGGAATATAGTACCCCCTATATAATCTAAACCCTGAACCCTGAACCCTAAACCCTAAACCCTATACCCTAAACCCTAAATCCTAAAGCTAAACCCTGAACCCTTATAAAAGCACCTCCCACGAACCCAACTTAGAAAGGAAATTCAGAAGCCTTCCTAGAGAAATCATATCCTCGGCATCCATCTGCCCCGAAAGCTCGATCTCCTGGCTTGTGTTGTCCTGGGCCTCGAACTTATCGGCAAGAACCAATCGGGCCTCCTCCTCCCCGTGGACGGGGTTCTTGCGCAGGTTGCCTGTCTTGGCTGCCCACGACCAGGCGGCCGCAATCATTTTCCTAAGTGTCATGATAGCACACTTCCAAGACTCGATCTAGATGGATAGATATCTAGATGAATCTAGATATCCATCTGTCTACCCATCGATCTATGTACATACGTATGGGGGCTTTACAGCTCTTGGAGTTGCGTGTGCGCAAATCACTTGGGAGTTTCGCGTGTGGGGGTTTGGGGGTTTTGGGGGTTTTGGGGGTTTTGGGGGTTTTGGGGGTTTTGGGGGTTTTGGGGGTTTTGGGGGTTTTGGGGGTTTGGGGGTTTTGGGGTTTTGGGGGTTTAGATCAGCGAGGTCGCGGGGTCCAATGAAGCACCGTCGCGAGGTACTGCTTGGTTACCCACTGTCCCATCTTGGACTTGCCATAGGAAGCCGTGTGAATCTTCTTGACATGGATCTCGAGCGACTTGAAGTCACCGTGCTTCTTCAGGAGGTCACGAAGCTTTTTACCTAGATATTTCGAGATTCGAAACAACCCGGCCTACAGCCCGCGTGGAACACAAAGTCTCGATCTGAAAAAACGGACAAAGCCCAGACACGGCCTTCCTCGGACTTGTACAGGGCGAGGGCTTGGGGTGAGCACTTCAGGCTTCCACATTGCTTCGGTTCGAAGTACCTCCGCAACCTGACACTGCAGACGCTATAGCTTTCGATCTAGCTGATGACACGCACTATATTTAATTTCGATGCAAGGGATTTCTAGAAGCTTCATTTTATTTGCAAGCAAAAATCTTCCAGTACGTGGGGCTCTTGGCTCGCTTCTTCGTGGACTTGTTTGGCGGGGAAGTCGTCGACGGTGGGGTAGCGCTTGGTGGTGGAGACTGTGCTTCATGGGTCTTGGCCTTTTGGGGTGTGGTAACATCCTCTGGCACGGGGCGGCCTGTGGTCGGCGGCAAACCAGGCATCTTCTGGGGCTCCGCTGGCAGGGTGTGGCCTGTGGTCGGTGGCAAACCAGGCCTCTTCTGGGGGGTTGCGACATTTCTCAGGTGCGAGGTCAGGCTAGGGCCTGCGACATCCGTTGGTGGCTCACGCTGGTTCGGGCCTGCGCTTGGGACATGTTGCGACATGTGGGCAGGCTTGGGCTCATCCTTGGATCGTGGGTACGGGCACTGTGCATCCTCGATTGTACTGTCGTATGACGCACCACTCCCCAGAGATTCCGTGGACCGCGGAACAACACGATCGTCTGGGGCCCGTCCCAAAGGCACAGCCAAGGCCCCAGTCACAGCCTCGCACGAAATCGTTCTGGCAACCGCTGGGGCACCTAGGCTCGTGAAAATCACACTCTCAATTCAGCCGGAGGTAGGAAGTGTGTTTAGGGTTTTCGCATAAACAAATGCACAAGCCCCACTTCAAGATCAGAAGTACATGTACCCTATATATATATACACACATATACTTAAATCATATATGTGTATATAAACACACGAAACATACATATCTACATGCATACATACATACATACATACATACAGACTTATTTAATAAATATCTGTATATATATATATATAGAAATAGTATGTAAAAGGATTCTCGATCACACATGTGTTCAATAGTGCAAAGATATATATATATATATACATACGAGTAGTACGTACCGTATTGCTTTCATGTAGTATACTAGTGATTGATATTTTGTATGTTGGTTGTATAGCATACGTATATATATATATATAGAACTATAGATAGATATAATATTTAGGTAGATATATACATACACATACACGTGTAGTATTTTCGGATCCATACAATGAAAGCTCTGTTATATTTCACTTTTATACTTTGATACCTTCTAAACCCAATTATATATACATATTATATTGCATATTATAAATTTTCCATATTCAGGTAAATTATACTTATTCTACAATCGATCTAGTGCGGGACAATATCTGTATATATATATATATTGTATATATATATACATTGAATATAAATATCTAGAAAAATATATTTATGTATTTATTTACTTATTTATCGATTTATTTCTTTTGTTATTGCTAAACTATGCCATGTCTTCTGTTCTCTCTATGCATATCATTTCTATATATATATATGTATGTCTGTGTATATACATTTATGTATATGTATATATATATATGCACATATGGGTACAAATAAATACATACAATTTATATGTATATACTACTTATATATACATACATATATATATATATATAAACTAAACCCTAAACCCTAAACCCTCAACCCTCAACCCTCAACCCTAAACCCTAGACCCTCGACCCTCGACCCTAGACCTTAAACCCTAGACCCGACCCTAGACCCTAAACCCTAAACCCTGAACCCTACACCCTGAGCCTTAAACTAGAATATGCAGATTGTAGCCTTGGTACCTTCAGGCGCTGGCTGGGAAGACTCGCCCGCTGCAGGCCTCGAGGCCCGCCGGGCGGCGATCGAAGCTTGCAAAGCCTCAATCCTTGCTTTGGCAGCCTGGGTAGGGGGGGTGGAAATAGCGAAACCAATCGTATGGGTTCAATGGTATGTGCATGACTCGTATATAGGCAAGTGACCTGGATGCGGTCTTTCACATCATGAACGGCTGGAGCAGGTGCCATGGAGTTACGCCCTAGCAAAGAAATCCCCTCCAACAAAGAGTTGCACGATCCTTGTCGGCCAGCCATACACCCTAGCAGCTCACCTCGAGAAAGTCTGGCTGCACTGTACATGAATGCTGCCCACTTCCTCCATTTGTTGATCTAATCTCATAGGACAACAAGGCAACATGTCCATCTATTCTTTTGGCAGGTTGGGATGGCTCCCGCGGTTCTGGCCCTTGCGAGCGCTTGCAGCAGCTCGGAATCCAAGCTGCAAGAATTCAGGCCAAATTAAGAGAAAACAGCCCGAAAGGCCAACCTGGTTTGCTACGGATTTTGGGTTTGCGGACGGTTGCGGGGATTTGCGGCCGGGTTGCGGATATTTGCGGCCGGGTTGCGGGTAAAAAGGTCCGGTTATTTTAGGGGGACACATAGAAAACTCCACAAAATCAAAAAGAGACCGCTTCTTACCCAGAACACCTCTGAAGAACAGCCTTTCAGCTGACAGTGTTCTGAATTCGCTGCAGCTCGCTTCGAAGCTGCTCAGAACCACATGCCTTAATTGGATTGCGTGGCAGGTTTTACGACTGGGGTTTAGGGTTGTGGTCCAGGGGCTGCAGGCTGCAGGGGTCTGCCGCTTTACAGATTAAAGTTTTGTCTTTCGGTTTAGGCCTTCGGGGCGAGGCTGAGGCTCAGATGGTTCAGGTGATATATACAGGTGTACGGAAGGGCTTCACATGGGCAGGGGTATAGGGGTTTAGATAGCAGCCAGGCGCCTGAGCCACCACTTCGGCGTGGAAATCGCTCATCGTGTTGTGCCACGAGTTTGGTATCCTGGGCGGATCGTTCTGTTTCTAGCAGGACTTAATTTAATAGGGTATAGGGTTTGCGTTTTAGGGTTTAGGGTTTATATATCAACTATATATCAACATATATAAATCCCAATCGGGTTTAGGCTTTGGAGGGTTTTATAGGGATTAGGGATTAGGGTTTAGGGTTTGAGGCCCTGGTTGATTTTTCCAAGCTTCGTCACATGTTTGCAGTTGTAGAGATAACAGAACACCTCATGGACTCGAGCATCGAGCCAGAGATCGCCGAGAGGAAGACTTTCAAAGATCTCCCTATCGCTCTTCGTGTAATCCACCTCTTTGCGGCTCCGGAGATCCCCCCTATGTGAAGGGGGCAAGATTCGCCAGTCCTCGTAAGCCTTGCGGAGGTTGTCGCCGAACGTGGTGGTGTAAATACTTGGCTGCAGATGGGCAGATGGGGTTGGGAGGGAGATACCATAAACCTATGGGCTCGCGCGGGAACTGTGAGAGAAAGAGAGAAAGAGAGAAAGAGAGAAAGAGAGAAAGAGAGAAAGAGAGAAAGAGAGAAAGAGAGAAAGAGAGAAAGAGAGAAAGAGAGAAAGAGAGAACGAGAGAACGATCAAAGAGAGAAAGAGATAAAGAGAAAGAAAGAAAGAGAGAAAGAGAGAAAGAGAGAAAGAGAGAAAAAGAGAAAGAGAGAAAGAGAGAAAGAGAGAAAGAGAGAAAGAAAGAAAGAAAGAAAGAGAGAAAGAGAGAAAGAGAGAAAGAGAAAAAGAGAAAAAGAGAAAAAAGAGAGAAAGAGACAATGAGACAAAGAGAGAATTTTAAGAGAAAAAAGAGCGAAAGAAAGAAAGAGGGAAAGGAGAGAAAGAGAGAAGAGATACCGAGAGAAAGAGAGAAAGAGAGAACGAGAGAAAGAGAAAGCAAGATAAATGATTTGCAATTCTTTTACACGCTTGCATTTAATGGAGTCTCGAAAGAGACGAAAGATAAGAGCAACGAGACAGCAAGAAAGAAAGAAAGAGAGAACGAGAGAAAGAGAGAATGAAAGAGAAAGAAAGAGATCTACAGAAAAAGAAAGAACGATAAATAAACAGACATAAAAAATAGGAAGAAAGAAAAAGAAAGATAAAGCAACATAAAGAGAAATAACGAGAAAGAAACAAACAGAAAAATAAAGACAGATAAAGAAAAAGAAAGAAAGAGAAAGAACGAGAACGAAAGAGAAAGAAAGAGAAAGAACGAGAAAGAGAGAAAAAGAGCAAGAGAGAAAGCTAGAGAAACAGAGAAAGAAAGAACGAAAGACAGACAGAAAGAAAGAACGAACAAATGGCTGGTTCAATGTGTGCAATTCCCTTACACGATTGCATGTATTTTGAAAGTAAATGAAAAAGACAGAGAGAAAGAGAGAAAGAGAGAAAGAGAGAAAGAGAGAACGAGAGAAAGAGAGAAAGAGAGAAAGAGAGAAAGAGAGAAAGAGAGAAAGAGAGAAAGAGAGAAAGAGAGAAAGAGAGAAAGAGAGAAAGAGAGAAAGAGAGAAAGAGAGAAAGAGAGAAAGAGAGAGAAAATAAGAAAAAGAGCAAGAGAGCAAGAGAGAAAGAGATAAAAAGACAAAGAAATAAAAAGAAAGAAGGAAAGAGAGAAAGCAAGATAAATTATGTGCAATTCCCTTACACGCTTGCTTTTAATGGAGTCTCGAAAGAGACGAAAGATGAGAGCAACGAGAAAGCAAGAGAGAGAGAGAGAGAGAGGGAGAGAGAGAGAGAGAGAGAGAGAGAAAGAAAGAAAGAGAAAGAAAGAGGACAGAGAAGATTGAGAAAGAGGAGAGAAAAGAAAGCAAAAACACATAATAGAGAGAGAGAGAGAGCTAGAGATAGAGAAGGAGAGAGGAGATAAATGTATATATATATATAACATATATATGTAGAAAGTTCGATTAAAAAGAGAGAGAGAGAGAGAGAGAGAAAGAAAGAGACAGAGAGAAAGAGAAAGAGAGAGAGAGCGAGAGAGAGAGGCAGGGTGAGAGCGAGAGTGAGAGGGAGAGTCACGGTTGTAAGCTGGACAGGATCGGTGATCGAAGTTCCCTGCGCACCAACCCTGCGTAACTCAATCCAAGACCCAAAACCGAATTGCACAGGTAAGGCAACTCCCAACCACTAGCCCCGGCTCTTTTCTGTCTGTCTCTCCCTCAACCCTGAACCCTATAAACCCCAAACCCTAAACCGTAAACCCTAAACCCTAAACCGTAAACCCTAAACCCTAAACCCTAAAGCCTAAACCCTAAACCCTAAACCCTAAACCCTAAACCCTAAACCCTAAACCCTAAACCTTTCTCTTTCACGGGCAGAAGTTCTAAGGGACTGTCTTTGTGGATTCATGTAGAATTGCAGAAACCCTAAACATTACAACCCTAAACCCTAGATTAAATTCGGCCTTTCTCCTCTCCCCTTACACCACACACTCGCCATTCTCTAACCCTTCCAACCAAGGTTCCCAGACTCCTTCAAAGCAGCACCATTTCCACTGAACCTTTTGCGGCCCTGCTTGTCCACGTGGCGGCCTGGGCGAGGATTGGCGGGAGGGGTAGGGGGTGGGGTGGGGCGGGGGTTAAGGGTTTAGGGAGGGTTAGGGTTAAGGGTTATAAGGTGTCTGGGTTTTTGCACAGCTAGTCGATCAGGCATGGCGCGCACTGTGCTGAGTGTCGTTCGTCTCTCTTTCTCGGCTTTGGTGAGTCTTCCGAGATCCAGGGCAGAAATTGTGCACATTGGTGAGAGAATCGTTGTGGGCTTCGCACTTGCTGATCCATGTAATATCATCCAGAAATTTTGCCGGAAAACCTCGGGGTTTCACCTAGTTCGAATTAAGAGAGCTGTATATGCATGGGTTTTAGAGGAGGGATTGCCTATATCTAGGATCAGAAAAGAAACTTTTACGATCCGGTTTGTCATCCAGTCCCACCGCTTGTGTGCCATTAGCAATGAGCAGGACGGCTGCTCTATCGCCCATGTGCAGTGCCTGGCCAGCATCAAAAGCAACAGGAGCACCAACCTTAGATAAGTGCACACAGATGGGCCGCCGAATTTGGAGCCTCAATTTAATCCTGCGCTGCGTCACAGTAGCCGGCTGATCAAGCAGGTGTTGTTGGCCACCCAAGCGATCCCCGCCCTTCCATATGGATTTATCAGTGAGCGCATGCTGGTGCCCCTTGCAGGTAATCCCCATGAACTGCAGTCCGGTCCAACCATGTTGAAAGCATCGGGGCACTCGTTGAGCACAACCCAACAAGCTATCCTAGGCTGGATATGTAGCAGCCTAGGTGTCAAGCAAGCCAATCTCATGCTGCGTTATGTGCAGCCATAGCTCGTGTAGCCTGAGTTGCGCAAGAAGTCCATGGGATCACCATAGAGCTTGTCAAAGCTGGCCGTGCTGTAGCCATGCTCATGCCTCTGTATACATAAATCACGCAGCACAGGGCGAGGGTAGGGTTCTATAACTGTCTCGAGACTGCCATGACTCAGACCCCAACCAAGTTTGGGTAACCTTCCCTGCACCAGAAAACAGCTCGAAGAACTCATATTTTGCGGAGAAGGAAAGTGTCTTCATCCACCGCAGCAGCAGAACCTCACACATCTCTCTTGCAAGATCTGTTTAAATTGAGAGGCTGCATGGGTCAGGACTGGCTACCATATTTGCAAGCATGCCACAGTTGCAATGAACACCTGATCGGTGGTGTGTGGAGAGCACTAGCAGCCACTAGCACTGATCGCCAAATCATCTGCAGAGCATATGTGTGCAGCAACGGCACCTTTGGAGCTTGCAGTTGCGCGAGATTTGTGACAAGCGACTCATCCATTGCGAGGGAGCAGTCTGAATTTCGGCTTCACTAGCTCAAACCTCGGACACCTAAAGGCCTCTGGATCGGATCGATAGTAGAAACCCTGCAGACTCAGTTAGCTGAAGCCCGGTGGCCTTGTGCATGTTACTTACAGAGTTGGACGACTGCTGCACACACATCCCAAATTAACCCAGCTAAATGGCTTCAAGCAAGAAAGCAATCCCTACTGCCAAAGTGAAGAACCGGCCCGCTATATAGACCCAATTACAACCCGTTATTAAAACACACTGAACCCTATGAAAAGCCCGAAACCCTAAACCTGAACCCTAAAAAACCCTATCGGGTAAACGCTAAAAGCTAAAACCGAACCCCAGCAA